GGCGGGTCTCGAACCCGCGGGCTCAGGCAATCCTCTCACCTTGGCCTCCCAAAGCGCTGGGATTACAGGCTGAGCCACCGAGCCCAGCCAAGTCTTACACTTAATGTGTTTTCATTGTGTGTATAATGATATGCAGGCTCATGCTTTCGAAATAGATGTTTTGTCCAGACTTCATCAGGTCCAGATGCTAGACAAACTCTGCTTTTTCTTTTTCTTTTTCTTTTTTTTCAGATTGAAAAGTATAGTTTATTTAGAAAGTAAATTAGAGAAAGAGAGAGTAAAGTCACCTCCCCAAGGTAGAGGAGGGGGCCAAAACTAAGAAAACATAACAGCCATAGCTCAGAGAGCACACAGCCTGGTCAATGCTTAACAAAACAATGGCCCAAACTCTGCTTTTTCATCTTCTTTTTTTTTTTTTTTGAGTTGGAGTCTTACTCTGTTACCCAGGCTGGAGTGCAGTGGCACGTTCATGGTCACCGCAGCCTCCACCTGCTGAGCTCAGGTAATCCTTCCACCTTAACCTTCCAAGTAGCTAGAACCACAGACATGTGCCCCCTCACCCAGATGATTTTTTCTGAGACAAGATCTCGCCAAGTTGCCCAGGCTAGTCTCGAACCCCTGGGCTCAGGCAATCCCCTCGCCTCTGCCTCCCAAAGTGTTGAAATTATAGGCGTGAGCCATCGCACCTGGCTTTTGTCATCATTTTAACAGTTGTCGGGCAAGCCAGCATCTACATAGGATTTTTCCCCCATCTTTACAGAGGAGTTATCTTATATACATGTAGCCCTGTGTCTCTAGACTTATTCCAAAACAAATGCTGACCTGAGTAGTGAAAGCTAGCATTCACAGGGCTCTTGTGATGTGCTCTGTGTTATGTTATGGGCTTTGCATTGGTTTTCAGTTAATCTTCACCTCAACCTGGTAAGGCAGGTGCAATTATTCCCATTCCACAGATGAGACTGAGGCTGAGGCTGAGTGGTTACAGAGCTTGCCCAACATCCAACAGCAGATTAGGGCAACAAATAAAGAGTAAAGGTTTAAAGTAGAAAAGTGAGAAGATCAGATCTGTATTTAAAAGAGGCATAAGGTGCCGGGTGCAGTGGCTCATACCTGGAATCCCAGCACTTTCAAAGGCAGAGGTGAGAGGATTGCCTGAGTCCAGCGGTTTGAGACCAGGCTGGGCAACATGGCAAGACCTTGTCTCTACAATAAATTTTTAAAAATTAGCCAGGCATGGTGGCATACAACTGTAGTTCCAGCTACTTGGAAGGCTGAGGTGGAAGGATCACCCGAGCCCAACAGGTCGAGGCTATAGTGACAGTGAGTGTACCACTGCACTCCAGCCTGAGCAAGAGGGTGAGACTCTGACAAAAAAAACAGACATAAGATTAGATGGAACGCTTTTGCAATAATTCAGCAGGGCCAGGTGAAGGGGTCCAGCCCCTTTGCTGGGTCATGAGATCTCCTGAAGGAGAGACGGATAGGCGAAAGACGAAAATCTTATTCCCGGACACCTGTGTCCTGAACAGATGACAACCTTTATTAGTTAACAGAAAGCTTTTAAACCATTTGTAAAGGGGCAAGACAAAGAAAATTCCTTCACGTACATATGCTTTAAAAGTTACCACCATCTAGCGGTCTTTAGAAGAAACGAATAAGCCAAAAACACTACTTCCAGTCAATGAGTCTTGAGATAAGTTTAAAAGGAGTTTCACTTAAACTAAACATAATGCATACAAGGTTTACTTTGACTTCAGTTCCACATCACTTGTCTAATTAAAAAAGCCTAATTAAAAAAGCCGGGCTCGGTGGCTCAGCCTGTAATCCCGCACCTTTGGGAGACTGAGGTGAGTGGATTGCCTGAGCCCGCGGGTTCGAGACCCGCCTGGGCAGTGAGACCTCATCTCTGCAATAAATCAAAAAATCAACCGGGCGTGGTGGCGCATGCCTGTAATTCCGGCTACTCGGAAGGCTGAGGCGGAAGGATCGCCGGAGCCCAGCAGATCGAGGCTGCGGTGGCCGGGAGCGGCCACTGCACTCCAGTCTGGGCAACAGAGTGAGATTCCAACTCAAAAAAAAAAAAAATCACTAGTACAAAACTATAGATTGTACATAGTGATTGTAGGAATATGAAGCCCATTAACTTGACCAAACAACAGTGGCTAGCATTTAAAGAATAACTATGAAAGTCACTTACTGTGAAGATACACTAATCTTTACTCTGAATAAACATATAAAGTGAACTAAATATAATGAAATAAAACTAACACAACTAAAATTATTATGGTTGCATAATTGTCAATGAGCTTTTAAGTTTAGGATAATGGTGATTTGGCTGTTTTCCCTTATGCTTGGCAACCTGCTGGAAAACATCTTTGTCTTAAGATAGGCAGTGGAGCAATTATTATTATCTTTGAGGCACCAATTTTATCATTGTGTGAACTTAAACTTATGAACTTAAAACAATCTTCAAAGTAGTTATAGCACTAAAACTTAATTAATGACACAAAGTAAAAACCTTGTTAAACATAACCAGAGCCTAATAATTTTTGTCAACCCTCATACATATGTATATTGATTACATAAACTTGTATGATATTACATTTACCAATTATGAGTAATACATGGATAAAACAATTATCATGTCTAGAATAGCACTGCCAGCAACTTTCTTCAAAAGAGTCCCAAATTACAGTCCTTGAAGTGCTTCAAGAAAGTTCCCTGGTGCAAGTTCTTCATGTAGCAGTTCTTCTCTTTTGGGCTTTTACGACCTTCAAAGCTTTTGTAAATAGCCTTTCTTGTCCAGGTGTCTTGTTACTTTTCTCTTATCCTGCTGTGTTTATTTCTAAAGAAAACTCAAAAGAAGCTTTTAATGACATTTCCCAGGCCCTCAAGGTTGCTTTCTGTATTTAGTTAATTATCATAAAAGTATCAAATTAGTATATTATGAATTCAGTGAAAACCCACTCTATAAACGTTTACTTAAAATTTAACTATAGAATTAAGTAAAAACCTTAACGATTAATCTTTATCCTAAGTCTGTGAAGACAGTGTTGTGAATCATCTACATAACTCCTAGATAAGTGTTAGAACTTATAATGAACTCATAATGAACTTACCATAAACTTGTGCTTCTAAAGAACCTTATGTCTAAACACTAAACTGCATAATTCTAAATCAAATAAGGAGTGAATATACTTATATCATTTTTTACTCAAGCAATATCTAGTAACTTATAACCAAGTGAAAGAAAGCATTCTTGATGTGCTTCAGAGTTTAACCCTTGCATATGTTAGAAAAGGCCAAGCGGCATAGTGGGAAAATGGGAAAAAGAACCATGACATTCTCAGGTTAGGTGTCAGTACTTCGCATAAACATGCCATTTTCTTCTTCCACCACTGCACAGAATTTCTTCAGCCGTATCAAACAGCAAAGGTGGAAGACAGAAGGGCCTCAGCTTCCCAGGCTCGCCCTGCAGCCCGGGGTCTTCGGCCCACCGGGACCCTGTCAATCATGTGGACCTCCAAGGCTGGCTCCCAACAGCCAGGTCAGTGGCTCACGCTAATAATTCTAGCACTTTGGGGGACTGAGGTAGGAGGATCGCTTGAGCCTGAGAGTTCGAGACCAGTCTGGGCAACATAGCAAGATCTCATCTCTACAAAAAAATAGAAACGTCAAAAAAATTAGTTAGGCATGGTGATGTGAACTTGTAGTCCCAGTTACTGAGGAGGCTGAGGGAGGAGGATCACTGGATCCCAAGAGTTCCAGCTATCATGAGCCATGATCACACCACTGTGCTCCAGCATGGGTAACAGAACAAGACCCTGTCTCAAAAAAAAAAAAAAAAAAAATGCCTCAGCACAGTGGCCCATGCCTGTAACCCCAGCACTTTGGGAGGCAGAGTGAAAGGATTTCCTGAGCACAGATATTTGATACCAGCTTGGGCAACTTGACAAGATCTCATCTCTAAGACAAAAAGAAAGAAAGGGAGGAGGGAAGGACGGAAGGAAGGAAGGAAGGAAGGAAGGAAGGAAGGAAGGAAGGAAGGCAGGCAGAAGGAAGGAAAAACTATATATATATACATACACACACATAGTATTTGCGTATATATATAATTTTTTTTGAAAGCAGGATTTATTGAGAAGACAGAAAAGTTCACACAGTGGGAAGGGACCCGAGGGGGTAGCCCAATAATTTTTATAAAATAATAATTCAGGCCAGGCATGGTGGCTCCTGCCTATAATTCCAGTGTGATGGCTCACACCTATAATTCCAGCACTTTGGGAGGCTGAGGCGAGAGAATTGCCTGAGCCCACAAATTCGAGACCAATCTGGGCAGTTTGGTGAGACTTTATCTCTACAATAAATAAAAAAATTAACTGGGCATGATGGTGCACGCCTGTAGTTCCAGCTACTTGGAAGGGTGAGATTGAAGGATCACCTAAGCCCAGCCAGTCGAGTCTGCAGTGGCCGTGATTGTTCCACTGTCCTCCAGCCTGGGCAACAGAGTAAGATCCCAACTAAAATAATAATGATAATTCAGAAGGTTCCAAGGACAGAATTCATAGCAAAGAACACAAGACAGGCTGAAGTTGATATAGATATTACAGCGGACTGGATATGAGAAAATTGATTCACCCAAAAACATTAGGTTAGCCCTTACTATGTGCTAGATATATTAGCACTAGGCATGAGGAATACAGAGATGATTAAATCAAAGTCTTGACAAACCAGAAGAAAAATCTACACAAATAAGTAAACATAATAATTACCAGCTGTATTAGTTTTCTAGGTGACAAATTACCACAACTTGCTGACTTAAAACAGCAGAATTGATTCTCTCAATTTCTGGGAGGCCAGAAGTTTAGAATCGAGGTGCTAACAGGGGGGTTCCTTCTGGAAGCTCCAGGGAAGACTCCTTCCTTGCTTTTCCCAGCTTCTGGTGGTTGCCAACAATTCTTGGCATTCCTTGCTTGAGACACGCAATTTGTCTCTGCCTCAGTCTTCCCATGTGTCTATGTCCAAACTTCCCTCTTCTTAAAGGACACCAGAGATTGAATGAGTGACCACCTCAATCCCATATCATCTCATTTTGACTTGACTATATCTGCAAAGACCCTATTTCAAAATAAGGTCACATGCATTGGTACCAGAAAGGTCGAACTTGGGTTTACCTTTTTTTTTTTT